GGGTATTGTGTGTATTTTTCTGTTAGCTAAACAGTGATCAATGCTCATTTTAAACATGGCCAAAGTTACAAATAATGAAGTCATTGCACTAAATGTGCAGATAATCCCTGTGAGCCAAATGCTCAGCCAAATGATTCAGACAGTTTTATTTAAAACCAACATTATGGCTGGCTATGAGCACAGAAGCCCCGCCCACCTGCTGTTCAAACCTTCTGTTTGCTTGAGGAGCCCAATTAGAAGAAATTGATTGGTTTGTCTCAGAAAGTAGATGAGTAGATGATCTGAGCAGCAGCACCAAGGCCATATGACATGGAGCTGGAAATGAGTATAGTAGGTGTACTGTAAGAAGAGCACTGGTAACCTGCTAATCTGAAAATAAAATATATTCAAAGCTTCCTGCAGTCAAAGACTTTTCTTCAAGTCACTCAGCCAAACAAGAATCAAATCAGTCTTTTCTGGCTGGTATCGTTAATTGATTATTGTCACATTGTGATATTTTTACAGTAAAAAAATAGTATGAATTACAAATATGTGGAGATATATATACATACATAACTCTGTCATCGTCTTTAGATCCAAAAAGGGAAACTTCATGGCAGCATTGACGTCGGCCTCTCAGTTATGTCCATCAAGAAGAGGGCCCGTCGTATCGACCTGGACACTGAAGAGCATATCTATCACTTGAAGGTAACACTGATGATAATAATCCATCACTGATACGCAAGCAGTCAGGTGGTGACAGAGGTCGAGGCTTATTCTTCTCCTCGTCTTTAGGTCAAATCTCAAGACATATTTGATGCCTGGGTGTCAAAGTTGCGTCATCACCGGCTTTATCGGCAGAACGAGATTGTGCGGTCTCCCCGGGATGCCACCATGAGAACATTTCCTCCTTCGGCGGCCATGGATTCCCCCCAGCCCACGCCAGCTGTGGTAAATGAAGTCAAGGTGAGCTCTCTTCTTCCTTATGGCACTATTTGTGCTCTTCCTTTGCTCTAAAATTGACCAGAATTTCTGATTAAAATAACTTTTGAGTAATTATCTGTGTATGTAGACTCATTTACGCTGTGATGCATTTTTAGTCTTGCTTAGTGCTTTCTTGTTTGGTCAAACACCAATAATGCTAAAGGTAAAATAGCTTAAAGCTCTTAAATCCTCTTAAAAGCTCAATTTCTTTGACTAATTCTTGTCTGGGACTGTCTGAGAGGTAGCCAGTGGAGTTAACAGTTTTCAAGAAAGGATCCATCGCACAAGCCCCTGTAAAGCAGTATATTGTGGTTTTTACACAGCAAACAGGATGTAAAGTGAATGAATGAACTTCAGGTGATCCTTAACTCTGAACCTGGTCTCTCTTCTAGTTTATTTTCTAGTTCTCACATATAATATGAAAGTAGTATTGAAAGCAAATAAATAAGAAATGCCTGACTGATGCTCTACACAAAGAAATCAGAACATTTTTCTACCTCAGAAAAAAGACATTTTGTTCTCCCTCTCAGAGTCTGCAATTACTTATTCAAGAAGAGCATCACGGTTAGTGAGAGATCTCCTAGTTTTGTCTTTATCGGAAACTGGGATAAC